GGGCCCCCATGCCCGGCCCTGCTGAGCGCGCCTCTCGCCCTGACCCCTCCCGGAGGTCCCAGCGGGCGTGGAGGGAGGGCTGCCCCCTGCGTCCCTGGCCCACGAGGAAGTCTGTGGAGTTTTCACTCAACAAGCTCCTTGAACCCCCCGTCCATGTCTGTTCCGTGAGGGGCATCCCTGCTGGGACAGTGTCGGAGGAGAGGGCCAGAGAGGGCGGGCACCTGCCCGAGGTCACACAGCTCAGCAGGCCCACGCCCACCCCGGGCCTGGCCTGGCCCTCAGCTGCCTTCTGCCCCCCAGTGGCCACACACAGACCCGGTGGAGGGGCCACAGCAGCTGCTGGTGGCTATGGGCCCAGACACCCCCAGGCTGGGCTACCACATTCCCACACCCCCGCCCGGGGGAGGAGCTGCACTCGGAGCCCCTGGGAGAGACGCCAGGCGCCCGGGTGCTGGGTGGCAGGCAGGGGCGGGACACGGGAATCTGCTGAGAAGACTCAGAAACCGGCTCCGCTCCTGGGCAAAGTCCCCCAGCTCGGGGATTGGTGGGCAGGGCAGGGTGCGGGGCAGCAGGCCCCAGGGGAGACCCGGCTTGAGGGAGCTGAAGGGGAGTGACCCCAAGAGGAGGCACCCCACAAGCAAAGGGGCCTGTCAGGGCTCAGCTGTGGGGAGCGGGTTGGACCAGGCCTCGGGGTCCACGCGGGGCTGGGTGGAGAGTCGGGCCAGAGCATGGCCTTGGGGGTGCTCTCCCGCCTCCCTCCACTTGCAGTTGGGGAGCTGACACCCTAACCGTTGCTGGCCACTCCGGACCCAGCCTGCAGAGAGCTCTGCCCAGCCCGGCCCGAGCCAGGTCTGAACCGATGACCCCAGGCCGGCCTTCCCCGCCCGACTAGTACAAAGGGCTTCCCTCCCACCATCTGCCGGGCAGGGACAAGCCGACCCAGATAAGGTCTGAGGGCGCAGGCAGACCTCCCCGGGCCCCCGGGTCCCCCAGCCAGCGCCCAGCACACCGCTCCGTCCCGGGCGGGCAGTGTCCCTGTCACAGTGTCACCCGGGCACCGGCTTGTGGAGGGCCAGCACGAAGGGCCAGTCCGGCCACACGATGCCCTGGGCCTGGCTCGGGGCCGGGAGCACCTGCCCGGGGGACAGTGGGGCCCGGACCAGGCAGGTGCCTGGGCTCCGCGGGGTACCCCCGGGGGCCTTGCTCCTGGGTAAACATTAATGCGGCTCAGCCCACGGCAGGTCATGTGGGTGCCCAGTGGATCTTTGACCTGCGGCTGAGCCCGCCTGTGTCTCCTCCCCACAGGTGCCCCTCACTACCCACACAGGTAGGAGCCTCGAGGACAGGAGGGGCGCGGGGAACACGGGAGCCAGGGCTGGGGGACCTCCAGGACAGGGACCGGCCTGTGTGCCAGCAGGAGGGAGGGTGACCGAGCCCCCAGGACTGGGCCTGGGGAAGGGGGAGTTGAGGCGGAGACCTGAGTGGGGGCCTCAGACCCCGCGGGCTGAGGGGGAGCCCAGGGTGAGCGGGCACCAACGCTCCCTGCCCTGCCCCCTCCTCGGGGGTGGGGCCCTTATCAAGAGGAGACGGCACCGTTTGGTATCAGATGCCAAAGTCTAAGTCATCGCCATGGCCTCGGTGACAGCTGCCAGAAGAGGTCCCGGGTTCCAGGCTCCCAGCCACTTCCGGCCGAGCCTCAGCACCCTCTGCCCTGGGCCACCCACCAGGCCTGCTGCCAGGCGGACAGCGAGGGAGCCGGCCGCCGGGCTCAACTTTGCCCGGAACTGAACTGGGCTTCCTGACAGCCGCCTGAGGTCACTATAGCCATCGGGGTGGGCGGGCACGGGGCGGTCACCCAGGCCAGCAGGACCCAGGGGCCTGGGGGTGGGGGCCGCAGAGGGAAGAGGGGGTCTGACCTGCCTTCCCCCCGCAGATCCGGGCTTGGGCCTGGGTCTGTCCCTGCCCGGAATCCATGCGGCGCTCTCTCCCCGGTGGCCAGGTCAGCCCCCCGACTCTGGACACGGTTGGGCTGGTGGACCAGAGTCTAGGAAACGCAGGTATCCGGGCCCAGCCCTGGGCCACGGGTCTGGGGAGGCGGGAGGGGCTCAGGATGACCCTGGTCAGGGCCCTCTTCCCTCCCACTTCCTGCCTCTGTCCCTCACCCCAGGCCCCTGTGCATGGCCTTCCCCCACCCCCACCCGCCCCCACCTGGGGGTGAACAGGACACAGCTCAGTCCCTGGCTCGACCTGCCCCTGGCCCTGCCCCTGCAGGGACCTCCAGCCCTGCCCCCGCCATGGAGGAGGGGCCCGCGGACCCCTGGGTCCTGCCCCAGCTGAAGGACACGGGCCAGTCCTGGAAAGGTAGGTCAGGAGGTGCCCGGGAACCGGCCACGTGGGGCTGTGCACCCAGGGTCTGAGCAGGGAGGGGGTTTGCCCAACAGGAAACCCACCCGCAGACCAGCACCCCAGGGACCTTCGTCCCTGCACTCGGCTGCCTTCCTGCCAGTGAGGGACCCTCTTCCCCCCCTTGCTGGCAGGTAGGCTGTGGGGAGGCCCCGGGGCTGTCTGCTGGGCCATTCTGCAACGGAGCAGAGAGGGGGTGGGCTGCCCAGCCCTGCCCCGTGGGGGGAGGTGGAGGGGAGGAGGTGGGCTGGCAGGCAGGGCGGACGGGGCTGGCTGTGGAACCCTCCCTGTGTCCGGAACTCTTCCTTTGCTCCCTGGACATCCTCAGCTCTGCCTTCCAGCTGCTGGGCAGTGAGTGGCCGCAGGGGCGGCCGGGGGCGGGGGGGCAGCAGCCAGGCCTGGGCCTCAGCGCCCCTCTCTCCCGGGCACAGGCAAGGTGGCCGGGGACATCTTCAAGGACAACGTGGTGCTGTCCAACCCCGTGGCCGGGCTGGTCATCGGGGTGCTGGTCACGGTGCTGGTCCAGAGCTCGAGCACGTCCTCCTCCATCGTGGTCAGCATGGTGGCCTCCAACCGTGAGTGCCCTCCTGCCCTGGGTGGGGGTCGGGGGGGGCATGGAAGGCTGACATGCCCCCCCCCCCACAGTGCTGCACGTCCGGGAATCCGTGCCCATCATCATGGGCGTCAACGTGGGCACATCCATCACCAGCTCCCTGGTCTCCATGGCGCAGTCGGGGGACCGGGATCAGTTCCGGAGGCGAGTGGCCGGGAGGGCGGGGCCGGGGCTGCCCTGGAGCCGGCCGGAGCTGACCCCCCCCCCCCTCTCGCGCAGGGCCTTCGGGGGCTCCGCGGTGCACGGCATCTTCAACTGGCTCACGGTGCTGATCCTGCTGCCGCTGGAGACCGCCGCAGCCCCGCTGGAGAGGCTCAGCGAGCTGGCCCTGCGGGCCATCAGCCTGCAGCCCGGGACGCAGGCGCCCGACATCCTCAAGGTGCTGACGCAGCCGCTCACCCACCTCATCGTGCAGGTGTGGACGGGCTGCGCTTGGAGGCCCCGTGGGCCCCGGCCTGGGCGGAGGGGACAGAGGAGGGGGCTCTGGGCCCTGCCACGGTGTGAGCTCCCGGCAAGTTCCTGACAGTCCAGCTCAGGGTCGCGACCCCTCTGTCTGCAGCTGGACGCTGACGCGATTGCCAACAGCGCCACGCACAACGCCACCAACAGCCTGTGCCCCCAGATCCCAGGAAACAGCAGTGACTGCAGGACGGCGACCTCAGGCCCCTGCCCTGAGACGAATGGCTCACCCACCTGGGAGCAGCTGCCCTGTGAGGCCTGGCCCCGCCCCAGCCCCCCCCGCCCCGCGAGGGCCACCGCCCC